GAGATGAAGTAGCTTCTTATCATCTATGAAGTCACTTAAGTGTTACCTGTAATCACATGCAGATTTCGTACAAACATATGCATGTCTCTACCAGAGTTTATGGTTGTGTGTGTTGCTGCAATAACACAAAGGCTTAGGCTCAAATCAGTAAGGACTATGAAAATTATAAAAAATGTATCGTAGTGACAAGTAGGTACTAGGTAGTAGGAGCTGTCATTAGCAGACTATCAAATAATGATGAAGGTATGTTCAACCCCTGGATTGGAAGAGTTCTACTCTGCTAGCTATACAATTGTGTAGCCTTACAATTTAGTCTGCTGTGTCCCATAAAGATAGACCAGTGTTGATATTGTAGCTGTGGTAAGTGTAAAAGGGGATGGTAGTCCTGAAAGTGAAAACTTCAGAGACCACGTATAGCAAAGAAACTGCAGTGGACCTAGGACTGAGCCTTAGTGCACTTTGTGGCTAAGTGGCTAAGGTCTTGAGCCATTACTTGTCCTACTTGCAGAAGTTAAAGAGGAGAAGATGATATGTAGCATGAAAAATGTTTAAATTAACCAGATTTACAAAATGCATGCAAGTCATGAAACTTGGATGAATCTGTCTAACTGACTTATATGGTCTTCCAGGATGCTTTTCTAGCACACTCAATAAAGTTGGCGATGTTGTAGGTGCTTTCTGTGGGCTCTGCCAAAGTACTTGATGGATAGAAGACACATGTTGCACATCATGTCAAAGCAAAGTTCTGCTGAGGATATGCACTAAGTTGCCTGATGACGAGACCTTTCATTTTAACTATCTACAATCCAACATTTCTCCTTCTCTGAGGCTGTGTTTCTGTTCTTTTTCTTTCATCTTTCCCTTCCGTATTCCGGAGCTTTTCTCCTTCCATGAGACTCCCACTCTGCCATCAAGGCTCTTCTGTCCTAAAAGTAATCCAGAGATATAAAAGGAAGTATTTAAAGTAGGGTCAACTCTGAGTTCCACAAAGCAAGACTTAGATTCAAGGAGAGATGGAGCGGATTTAGTGGGCTGGAGCTCAAATGTGCTGGATGCCTGATGGGCCAGATCCAAGCACAGGACACTGCAGAACATGTGTGTGTCACTTTATGTGCCTGATAAGTTATACTCAGAGTTATTGATCTACCCTCTCACTATGATTTTAATTTCTCCAGCACTGCCTGATATCCTGTGTGCAGAGTTTGCTTAAACAATTTGAAATACTAGATCAATACACTTTCTGAACATGGCCCGCACTTTTGAGTTGACCATGAACTTCTTCCTTCCACTTCTCATTACAACTTTTCTGTCTACAGCCTCTTGTCTCTCCATCTGTGTTTTGTCTGCTGACCATCCTCTCATGTTCTCTAACTACTGTTTTTCTCTCCTCTCCGCTTCCTCTTGGTCCTTCATCCATCTGCTCAGGCACTTCTCTAATGAGGCATGCTGATCGCATCACCTTCCCCAGGACTTTGAACTTCTCTGGGGTGTCGTGTTACGGGATTGATGGCCACCATGTTTATTTATGTGAAACTAGCATGTAATCCTGGGAGCATCGAACGGTCTGGTTTGGTGCAGAAGGCTGTAGGCAGGACCACGCTGCCCTGGCCGCCTCCTCCAGACAAATTTCAGCAAATTTTTACTTCCATGCTAATGCTATTTTAGCTTCTACCTTCAGAGAAGATGGATGTTTTATGCTAGGACTAGATCCCACTGGTAACACTTAAAGCTGTCATCTATAATGCATTGTCGATACCTTCATAATGAATTATAATGGTCAGTATAAGAGTTAATAAAGCATTACAGCATCTTCTATTGACAGTCATAGGGCATTATAGTGTTGATTTTTAATACTTCATAAACTCTAATGAAGCTCTTATCCATAATGTACTATAGATACCTTCATAATGCATTATAATAGTTGGTATAAAAATTAAGGATGCTTTATACTGTGTTATGAAGGTATCTATAGTGAGAGCATAAAGCATTCAAAATGCATAATAAACATGGCTATAATATGTTATGCATTTTTATAAATAAAGCCAAATGTATAATGCTTTATGAATGCATTATAATGTGTTATGAATGTGTTCATAGATTGTTACAGACATGGCATTCATAGAAAGTGTTACCATCCCACTGTATGTAGAGGGAGGCAATAGTCTTCAGAATGAGGGGTCTGGGTTACTGTAAGGCAACATTGTGTAGAAAAATCATCAAAAACCAAGCACTAGAAGCTTCCCAAAGAAGCTCACTCTGTGTAGAGATCTGCTCATAAGCAATTGAGGAATGGAGACACAGGACTTAAATTGGCTACCTTGAGGTGGGGCTAATTGTTACCTCATTGTTGACGCCACCATCACTGCTCCATAGTAACAAACTGTGTCTCAATTAAGGGGCTGCATTCTTCAAAAGACATGGTCAGTGTAGCCTTTGTAAATTGCATCCTTCTTAAAATCCACACAATGAATCTTTGGATAAATAGAGCCATGAAGGATCTATCGGGTGGATCCTTCCTTGGCAGGAAGTAACAGGACAACCTTGAAGCATTTGGTCCTTAAATGCAGCCTTAAAAGGCTACAGGCCCTGAAATGGGACATAGCTATGGTTCGGTGTGGACCTCTCCAGCCAAACAGATTACTAATTGCAGCCTGTCTCACCAAAGACTCCCATCCTGTCGACACGCATATTTTTCCTCGCTTGTTAAAGCTGTTAACTACATGGTAAATTTGCTGAGGTTCCATATGATATATTTAAGACTTAAGTATGACATTTTAAGTGACGTCTTTCAAATACATATATTATAGTATTTGTATGTCAAAACAATTTGTATTTGGTGCAGAAGACATGGGCAGTTAAAAATATCTCTTCACGGTAAATTGGTTAGTGGTACCAGTAAATTATGCAGGAGTTCAACTGCAATTTCATTAATTCATTTAAAGTATGTTTCATGCCTTTATAGAAAATAATGATTGGAAATCCTGGTCACAGTGAGGGCAATAAAGTGTGGTTTGACTAAAGGTTTAGTATGTTCACAAACTGGATGGGAGTTGTTTGGGTGGGAAGGGGTTCATTAAGGATCGATCCAAACTCTTAGTTACTTTTTAAAAGCAACTTGAAGAATAAAGTCTCCATGTATGGAAAAAATAAATCACCCTTTAGTCCAAGACTTAGTTGGGCAGCTTAACACCCCACATGTCCCGTGGGTTTGCAGCTGAGAAACATCACTCCAAGACATCAACATGTAACCTAATACCCATTTGAAAATATTCATTCAAAAAACTTTTGAAAGACATGTTTGTGGAGTTGGCTCTAAATGTGCTCCACAGGCAATGAACCTGTCAATCTTTTGGGCTCGATTCATTACTAATGTAACAATGTCTCGGTTCGGAAGGTGGCCCATAACTTTAGGGAGCATAGACCTGGCAGCCTGGTGCTAGAGCCAGCTCCGCCCTTCGCGTCTGCTCTCACACGCCGGGGTTCGGTAAATCAGCCCAGGGGCCACTGCACTGTATTGTCTAACCATGAGACGCCCACTCATTTCTCTGCTGAGTGCATGTTTTCTCAGGGTAATGCTGACTCTCACATTTTACTGCCAGAGTCTACACATGCACAGAAGGATAAAGATGATTTAATACAACGGAAGAAGGCAGCTTTGTTTGGAACCCAGTTGTTAGAAGGTAGCTTTCTCAAAGTCGTAAACCTGTAGAGATGCCTTGTTCAAGTACATAAACAAAGCAGCTAGATGTTGGTTTAAGTTGTGTAGTATTGGTTAGAATTGTGACTCAACAGTGTGTGAACCGCCAGCTTCAAAAGTTACCCGCCCCAGCAAATTATTAATGACCAGGTGGAGGATTTAATTCTCTTCTCACCGGTCAGCACTGTTCACACTCCCAGTCAGTATTATTTAAGATCTAAAGTATTGAAAATCAGGAGCTGTTTGGAGATAAGACGGAAACCCCAGGACTCCAATTTCCAAATGGAAAGTGTTGCACTCTCGCGGTGATCTAGGCTTGCAGACCGCAGAGATGTGAAAGAAAGTCCGTGTAAGGGTTATACAAATAATGTTGTCATGTTGGAGCCAAGCAGATTTACTGACTCAGTTTCTCCTCCAGAACCTGTAGTATATGTGTGAAATATGGCCTGTGGGCGGCTCATGTTCCTTCTGATAGAGACGGCTACAGGAGCTTGTTTTGTTGGGAAATCTGACTACCCTTGTCTGCTGTGCCTTTGTTTTTATTCCAGGGTGCAGCTATTGTTTTAGTGCATTTTGCACAGGGGGTAAGAGTAGGACCAGTGAAGGAAAAACAGAATGACTGCGATGAGATGGAGAACATTGAGCTTAGTGGTAATAAAGCTCAATGAGGCTGCCGCCCATGTCATCGAAATTTTAAACTGTATATCTGAAGTTCACCCCGCCTCCCCCAGGCGGCAACTTCAAAGTGCCGTTCTCTGTGAAACTGCCGACCGCCTAGCAGACAGCCGCCACATTGAAACCCGAGGAAAACTGGACATGGCTCACGGTCAGCAAGCTGGCACACTGGCCCCGGAGCTCAGCATCAGGGCCGAGCCACACGCTGTCTGTTCATTAAGGAGCAGACTGTCAGCAACATCCATGTTCATCCTTCAATCCTTTCATGCTCAAAGATTACGAAAGGAAGGGAAGAAACCTAAGAATCATTCATTTTTACATACTCAGTGTTCGCTTGAGGGTCTGTGAGTGCAGAAACTTGCATCTGCAACCTGTTTAACGCAGCAGTGATTATGTACTCAAAAAAGCAGTAATTTGTCATCCTGCTCTCATTTAATTTGTCTATATATATATACTATATGCTGGCAAAAATTGTGTCACTCTTAGTAGACATTTTTGGTTCAGTGGCCAGTGGCTGTATCTGTTTTCATAGCGGAGTTCAACTCTTAAGCTCATTCTAACTGGATTGAAGCTTGCCTCCCTCTGTGGAGCACAATGGCACTAACTCTCCGACCCTCTTCCTCTGCAGAAGACTCCAGCTCTGGGAGGGACGGACTAGCGACCCCCAATGGGGCTAACACAGAATACGCCACCGACGACCTTTCAGCTAAACTGGGTGAGTTAATATACTACCTTGAAACCCTGTAGTATTTATCTTAGGACCCCTGAATGAGTCATGTTTTGGAGCATTCCTTTGACATGCAGCATGGCAGTCTATTTAAACAGAATGAAATAGATCCCATTCCTCACAAAACATAATGTATGCCAAGGAATATGACTGAACATTAGCTTGCCCGATGGAATCGTTTTGGCCTTGACAATGAAGGAACGGATGTGGTCATCACTGGTAGATTTTCAGTCTTCTGCATATATTTTATATGTAAATAACACAAATCGTTAAATCATCACTAGAATGAAATTCAGTGTGTCCATTGGTATTTATTTGGACTGGCGTATAACAACGTACAAGGTTAGTTGGTACAACTGATATAGTCTGCTTAATTTGGCAGGGAGTCTCGTATTAAGTTACCCCTCCTAATTACTCTGTTGTACAATAGTGAGGCCTCGGTTCACCCAACCCGCCAAGATGCGCAAGCGGGTGATCGCCCGGCCTGTGGGCAGCTCCATTCGCCTCAAGTGCGCCGCCAGTGGGAACCCACGGCCTGACATCACCTGGCTGAAGGACAGCAAGCCGCTGTCTCCGCAGGAGGTGGGCGAGGGTCGCAAGAAGAAGTGGACCTTGAGCCTGAAGAACCTGACGCCGGAGCACAGCGGGAAGTACACCTGCCGCGTCTACAACAGGGCCGGCGAGATCAACGCGACCTACAAAGTCGAAGTGATCCGTAAGTAACAGTTCTGCTTTATCAGCCCATAGACAGCATATCTCCTGCACAGACAAAATGGAGAGGAGACTCCTGCTGAATGTAACTGTCTTCTCAAAACCCAACCAAAAATCGCATCTTCCCAAAAATCGTGGCATTTCGTGAAATGACATAAAAGCTAAATGTCCCCCTAGCCCCTAGTAGATTTTTATTGACTTTGCAACATGATGTAATATCAACATGGTGTCATTTTTGGAAGATCTCCTCAAAAAGATTTAGCTGGCGATCACTGTGGACAGCAGTGTTTCAGATCCTTCCACAAATTGTCAGTGGAAACTGCGTCAAGTCACAGAGCACGTCGGGATTAATTTAGGGATTTAGGGCAGCTAAAGGGATGTCCATGTTCTCGAAGGCGTTCGGCGTGTGTGGCAGTGAGCAAAGTGAATTAGTCATTGGAATGAGGAGCATATTATGGAGGTTGGGTGGTTTGGGAGGTGTGGGGGAATTGGCCTGTGTTCTGAGGAGAAATCTTCATCCATCCTGCTGACCATCTGCTGCTGGTTACAATGCAGCTGTGCGGCGGACTCAGCAACACATGTTGATACTAAATCCAGAAGCAGAGAAGGGGAAGTGAATCGAACATCATCCTTGTCTTAGATGTGACATTTTCTGCTCAATCTAAACCAGACATGGAAGGATGCTACCCATGTATACGCACTCACTCGCACAAATGGAGATGTTAACATTCATACATTGAAATGCATGTACTGTTCCATTAATCCATTCACACACCTTAATAGTCATACATAAAAATACATTAAAAAATACATCCTTTCATGCATATTATCCTTCCACCACCTCTCTTGGTGAGGACTGCATTCCCTTCTTATATGTACAGTACTCTCTCTGGGTGATAAGTTCCAGGTTCTACTGCGGATGGCTGAAGCCACTGATAACAGCGAACAATCCATGGACCTCATATGTACATATAGAAAAGCTTATTCGATAAATTACGCACAGTAAGACATTACCAACATTAAATACAGTAGTAATAAAGTACATTGGATCGAATGAAAGGCATTCTCATGTTTTAGACTGATTAAGAACATAAGAAATTCACAAACGAGAGGAGGCCATTCGGCCCATCAAGCTCATTTGGGGAGAACTTAACTAATAGCTCAGAGTTGTTAAGTTGTTAAGGGTTTTAGCTTACGCTACACTAACAGGCCACGAGTATTTAAACTAATATTGAAGTAGCCATTTTCAGGAGACAATAGAGCAATGAAAAAATATCACTTATTAAGGGATGATGGAGCAATAAAAATGCTTTCTATACCCCTTAAAGGGTCAAGGAACAATGGAAAAACATATTGTTACACATTTTACAATGAAGAATATTGTATTATTTATCTGTAGATAACCTGTAATGGCGCCCTGGCGGATTTCAGTATGTAACAGGCTGTACTCATTTGGCACGTGGTTTGAAACTTATAAACTGTTTATTTGTGGAATTTTCCAATTTTCTTTTCAGACTGCGGTAAACCGCGGATAACTGAAATGGCGGTCACTGAAACTGGGGATGCGGGGGTCTCTCTGTATAGACACCAAATAGTAATTGAACCAAATTCAATAGATTTTTGAGATCTAGAGATCCGCACCAACATTCATTCACACACCATTTTGGATGGGAAAGGATGGTACGGTTGATTACTCAGTGCTACTGCACACGACTGGTCATGTGGATCTATAACCGCTTCCTAAGCAATGTGCCTCCATGAACACATAACCGGATTTATCTGTATAATAATCTAATTGTGGGCTGACATGTGGTCACCAGGTTCCTGATGCTATTCTCATTGCTATTGCATGCCATACTTGTTTGTTCAAATGAGTGCAGGCATTCACCACTCAGTTTGCCTCTAGTAGTGATGACTGGATCTATTATCTCACTTTTTCGTTCTTGTATTCGCCATTGATGTTATTTTCCTTTTGACTCCATTGTAGAACGTACCAACTCCAAGCCCATCTTGACTGGCACCCATCCGCTGAACACCACGGTGGACTACGGAGGGACGACATCATTTCAGTGCAAAGTTCGCAGTGATGTCAAACCCGTCATCCAGTGGCTGAAGCGAGTGGAGCCGGGGGACGAAAGCAAGTACAACTCCACCATTGAGGTGGGCGACCACCGGTTTGTGGTGCTGCCCATGGGTGAAGTGTTGTCGCGGCCAGACGGCTCCTACCTTAACAAGCTGCTCATCAGCCGCGCCAAGGAGGAGAACGCTGGCATGTATATCTGTCTGGGCGCCAACACCATGGGCTACAGCTTCCGCAGTGCCTTCCTTACAGTCCTGCCAGGTAGGGATGACCCTCATTGCTCCGTCAACCACACGTGCCTCAGTAGGGGGTTCTGGCCATGAGCCATAACAAACAGTGAGTTTGACATGGCCCAAGGCAGCTGGCAATGAGCCAGCCCATTCAATACATCATTTCCTTAGTCTTCCTGAATTTATTTATTTTTTCTGCACTTTTGTAAAACCTCAATATAGTTTTCGTTTAAGATGTGACATTTGGTGAGATATGAAAAAATGCCTTTATCCTCAGGGCTCAAGGGCTAAACCTTACACTTCTCCTGTGCTCTGCCCCTTTGTTCTTCTAGACCCCAAACCTCCAACAATCCCAGTATCCATCCCGACATCACACAGCCTGCCCTGGCCAGTCATCATCGGGATACCGGCGGGGGTGGTCTTCATCGTCGGGACTATCTTGTTGTGGCTCTGCCAGTCTAAGAAGCACTGCTCCTCAGGTGGTGCGGTGACCGCTCCCTCTGGCCAGGCGCCCCACCGCCAGCTGCCCCGGGACATGGTCGGCCTTCCTGTTGCTGACAAGGACTGCATGGGATCCCTCAGCTACGACGAGTACCTGGCCCAGCAGCAGCAGCTTCTCTTGACCCAGGGGGGCACTTCTCTGGCTCCTAAAATGTACCCAAAGATCTACACCGATATCCATACGCACACCCACTCACACGTGGACGGGAAGGTGCACCAGCATCAGCACATTCACTATCAGTGTTAGCCTTCAAGCTCTGGCTTCATCTCCCCATCCGACCTGGATACCCGCCCTCTCTGCACTGTGTCCCTGGACCTCTGTCCTAAAATGAGGTACCACGGAGGACCTTCCTCACTGCCATGCCCATACCTTTCACATCCTGAGGTAAATCATGGGAGGGGACAGACTTTGTGGGATCCACAAATGCAACAGACAAATCTATGAGCTCTTCCTTCTGGAGGAGAGCAAAGAAGATAACTTAGCTGGGACAAAATCAGCATGGTTATGTTGCTTCTGTGAGATTCCCTTTGCTTGGTTTGGGTTTCAACTTTGTTTTTCATGCCAGTTTTCTTGGGCTCGTACTGTGATCTTGGTGAAAGGCTGCACAAAACAGACACGGACTTCAAGCTGTGGCACGGTCCAACAAACACAGTTGGAGATTACTGGTAACAGAGGAAGAATGGATGCATTATGGGCCAGTCATTTCTGTGTTCTTATGGACTAACCTGAATTAAGAAAACCAGCTGAAAAGTGATGATTATTCTGCACTTAAAGGGCTTCTCTGGGTATAAATCAAAAGAGCAGAAATGGACTTTGTTACGGGGATCGCTTTAGGAGTTGCTTTCTGAAACCTGATTAGTTCTAATCATCATTAGAGGAACTTGAAAATGCTGTTTAATAATAGCGGGAAATGGAATGCTATGAAAAATGCAGAACAGTGCCTCACGAAAGCGAGCAGGGATTAATAAGGCTCATATTCATGTCACCTGACTGCACGACCCCCACTTTGCACTTACTGTCAAAGTAGGAGTGTGGCCTCAAAAAGCCAAGTTTGGGGAGGGGGCATGCTCCTGAACATGGGCAGCCTTTCTTCATTTTGGCTTGGACTGCTTCCCTTTCGGTTTCCTCCACTGCTCCTGTCCTATCGGCCTTTCTGAGATGGCAGGCTGGTGTTAGAAATACCACAAAAGGGCAGGTTTAGCTCTTGTATACTCAGGTGTCCCTGACTATTCACAGTTTTTGTTTTTGTGTCTTTTTGTTTGTGTTTTTGAACATGTGTATGTTTCCCTGACCACTATTGCTGCCAACCGAAAACTGCATTATTGCTGCCTCAGGCTGCCGCCTCTCTGCCCGCCTCTTGTCGGCTTAGGGAACGAGCAGCGTGTGCAGCTTGCTAGATAAGTTGTGGTGGGACCTGCCGACATCCAAATGCCTGGGGTTGCCACTTCGTAGGGGGTTTGTCTGTGAAACGTGCAAAGGGGCAGAGACCGAAAGTCATCAGATCCCAGTGTCACGGTCATCCTGTGTTTACATCTGAAGTCATGCATCAGCGCTGAGTGGACCTGCCAAATCAAATATCCACCAGTTAAAAAAACACACTTGGATTCACTATACAGTTAAGAAAATGCCTATAACACTATTTAATTACCATAAACTCTTACTATCCTTGAGGCAATAATGGACCTTGACAATGCCTATTTGGACTAGAGTCAAATTTAACCACAAAATATAAAGCTTTAGTAATTCTATATAGATTTTAAACAGAAGTCATGTATATTTAATTTATTTTGTTAAGCAAGAAATTATGTATAATTTTTTTCATCAGATCAGGCATTTCTATACATATTTTGATCCAAAATATAAACAATCGATGCCATTTTGTTCTTATAGTTTAATGTAAGCTATGTAGCATCTAAGTATGTTGTCATCGAGTTATTTGTACGTGCTGTTTGAAAATACAAAAAATGTTATTAGTAATCTTTGTATTGACAATCTTGTACAGTTTGCCCTCTTTGTAAGCTGGAATTGTAACTGTAAAGTTATTCATTGGGAGACATTTTAATCAATTTATCAAAGTTATTAAAAGCAGAAAATTCTGTTTTGCGTCATGGCATCTAATCTTGCCTGCCTGGTCATGCCGTGTTCCTCTATGTCTTTAAGAAAAAAACAGAGTGATTCTATGTGGCAGTGTTGAGAATTTGCACGTAGGATCTGTTCCATTGTAGGAGAGGTTCCTTGTCTGGTCTAAAAGTTCTTCATGATTGACCCGCATGCATGAGAATTGAGCAGCAGAGCTATTTCAGTAATCTTCTGAATGTAATCCAGAACGTTCCTCTACATTCTGTGAAAGGTGGGACCTTGAAAGTTCTGACCGCCAGAGTTATGACTATTCAGATGCCATCCGTGGTCTCATACATTCCACACCGTCTTCTCATAAATCAAACATGTATCACCCATTACATTTGGGCACGCACAGCAGAGATCAAGACATGAGTGAGTAACTTTTGATCCAGTTTCTGACCTGTCCTGCAAAGGCCAAAAAGGAGGACCAAGCACAGAGAGCAGCACGTCTCCAGGCATGCATACGTGTATCTGACAACGGCAAGGAACATAACAGAGATAAACAGACAACGGCAGATGTGGGTGAATCATAACCATGCAAGTGTGGCTACACAACCATGCTGACTATCAACACTGATTTGAACAGGATTGCAGTTTTAATCAGTGAGACAGTAGCATGCTGAGCAGTGGAACTGAAAAATAAACTATGGGAATGTGTGTGAGTTTTAGGGAGAGTTAAACAGGTTTGGCTGCAGGTGTGACATCGGCTGGCGGCGTCAGACAAGCAACCACAAACAGCTAGAACACAAATATAAATGCCCCGATTGAAGGGTCAGTTTCACCCAATAAAATATTGCAATGATACATACACACACCTCACACGTTTGTAATTATATCTTTGTGGGGACTCTCCATTCATTTCTATGGGGAAAACTCGAATCCCAACATGGTGATCTTAAGCCCTACCCAGCCCTAACCTTAACCATAAGTAACCAAACAAAATACGAGACTTTTGGCATTTTTACTTTTGATTTCATTCACAGGTCTTTGTGGGGACCTGAAAAATGGTCTCCACAACGTCAAATAACAGGTTTTTATTACATTGTGGGACACACAGACACACAAATCCCGTAATAAACAATATTTCCAGGAAGAGAATATTTCGCCCACATTCTATGTGGTTAAAATTAATTGAAATAACAGAGAATAGCTGTTTCAGTATAAGTTTATTTTTGTGGCAGTAACAGCAGACAGACTGCTGTGGGTGAAATATGCCAACATAATGAATATTTCCCAGGGAGTTTCTGGAGCCTTCAGTAATGCCAGGCAACAAGAAAGAATTACAGTATTAAAGGAACTAGCAAAATAATATCTGCTATTATTATTATTATTATTATTATTATTATAATAATTATTATTATTATTAGCGGTAAAAATGACAATAAGGGACATCGTGGTGGTGCAGTGGTTAGCACTGTTGCCTCACACCTCTGGGACCCGGGTTCGAGTCTCCGCCTGGGTTACATGTGTGTGGAGGTTGCATGTTCTCTCAATGTCGTCGTGGGGTTTCCTCCGGGTGCTCCAGTTTCCCCTCACAGTCCAAAAACACACCAAAGCTAGTTGGAGTTATTTAGTTGCCCATAGATGTGTGAGTGTGTGTGCCCTGTGACAGGTTGGCCCCCCATCCTGGGTTGTTCTCCGTGTTGCACCTGCAGCTTCTGGGATAGGCTCTGGACTCCCCTGTTACCCTGCAAATACAGAAAATGGATGAATAATAATGTAGGTGTGCTTTTGTATATTTCTACATTTCATTGAAAGCTATTGTTGCATCTAGGACCATTTCAGAGTAATTTGTAAGAATAATTTCAGAGAGTACATGCCCATGTGGATTGCTATACAGTTTTTTAAGGCAAAGATCTTAATGACAGCACTTCTCCTTCATACCACCAACATGTGCTGTCCAACTGGAATTCAGAAACTTTGCCAAGACCTTGCCGTAAAAAACATAATCAAAATCATTTTACTACATTAAAAACATTACATCTGTATTACTTAAAATAACATGTTATTAGTATGTAGTCTTAGAGAATGATGGAAGTCAACTGAGATCAAACAAGCAACAAGCACAGTTTTAATAATGGGTCAGATTCAGATGTGAATGCACATACATTAATACAGAAAACAATAATAAATATGTGTGATCATAAGTAAACACACTTCTGCTTCTGAAACTCATAAAAGAAGGAATGTGTGTGTTACCCAAAAACTGCAGATTCTAACTGATATTAAAACCATTCAATAATCACAGGGAAAATTGTAAAATACTGTAGCTTCCTTGTCCACAGAGGGCAATTGTTGGCTTTGTGTAAGATACCACTGCTGGATACTACTGCACAAAATTCCCGAATATGATGAGACTTAAAGCAGGTAGAAAACCGGACCATGGAAAAAAGTGCACTTTTAGCATCATTTTGTGCAGGTTGGAAAGCTGCAGACTAACATGTGAGGCCTATTTGTACAGAGACTGGAATCTAGGCAAGTACAGTTCAGATGTGGACACTGCAGTTCTGCCTGAAGTTGTGCACAGGACCATGGCACTATTGGCAGCTAATGTTAGCACCACAGTGTTAGCAGCACGGTGCTGTCTACACATGCTACTCTCTGCTAAACTATACACAGCATACACCGGTTATATCAGATGGATGCGAGACATGCCCTTGTCTGGGATTTCATGTCTCACTTATACAGCACGGTCTATAGCAGTGTTTCCCAATTCACATTTTTCCCAGCAGCTAGGAGGGAGCAAAAATGTGGACGGACTATGTTAGACAAATGCATTACTTTGGACAGCATCAGGAAATTGCAGTTGCTGAAAGAAACTGCTGCAAAAACAAAGGGAACCTGTTGTTGACCCAACTGAGCCGGCGTCCTGCCCTTCTGTGCAACAGCTGCTGATAAATGGTGAGAGTGCAGATTGCGCGTCCAGCCTGAAAGCGATTCCCGAAACACGCTGTGTTTTGCCCGTTAACTGCACAGATCCCTGTAACTTCATGCTCTGGTGTCAGGACGCAGTCTGTAATTCAATGTAAAAATAAATTATAGAGTAAAAATACATATTACCTAAAAATAAGCAGCAAACGTATATTTTGTGTATTATTTTAGCATTTAAATATGTCCACTTGTTCCTTTACTCCTTTTGTTTTATGGAGTAATTGCTTTAACAGTAACATGCCCCCCCCCCGCTAACATCTGGCTGTTTTACGTCGGCCTGTTTCCACAATTACTGCCATTTGCTCTTTGAAATGCTCCGATAGCATTTCCACACTCAGCTTGAGGATGTTTCTCATCTTTCAGGTGGATCTGCTCTAATTTCCGAGCATCATCAGTAATTTGTTCTGAGTATCCTCTCTCTTAAAATGAATAATGTTTATTACTTTCAAAGGCTATAGCATTAACATTCAGCCTTTTCATGACCATATGATGATGACAAACAGATCAGCATTTTTTTTTTAACCGTTTACAGGACTGACTGGTTTTTACTGGAGCAAATAAAGATCAAGTACATCACACGTTTGAAGATCCAGAAAGAAAACTGGACTTTCCTCATATCTTCTCCAGATATCTCCTCCACAGTCCATTTAAACATCTTCAAATCTGGAAGGAAAACAAACACAGTGCAAGTGCGCCCATGCATGCTTTTTGAAGTTTCATATGGGGCATTACAAAAAACAGGATGATATTTTTTGTGTCGACCATAAGGCATTACATGGAATTAGATTTCAAACCAGGTGTAAAGTCTCCAACATACAGAGACCGTGAAAACATTTTTTTTCTTTCAAAAGACTTTTGTTGTCACTCTGATTTCCTGTACATGTCAGGCAATACAGGTAGACCTCCACTCTCCTGCATTTCGCTGATTTCAAAGAGACAGTGCGTTGCATAATAGCATGGCTCCGGAGATAAGGCACACCCATATCAGCTTATCAGAAAGGAAAGGGGTCCGTTTGGCAGTGTTGATAACTATCTGAGATGGAAAGATCTGATGAAAAACAACAGGGATGTTTAAGGCTAAGTTGGGTGTGAGCTTACATACAAACTGTATATCAAAGAAGTCTGTCTTTTTGAAAAATAAATGTAAAAAAAAACAAAACAAGCATAGATACAGGACATAGGACAACCACAACAAACCCTTATGAGAAGGGCGTCTGCATACCAGTCAGAAATGGAGAAATCATCAGATTAGTGTCCAAAGGCGCCATCTTGTTTATCACTAGATTACAAAGGTGCGGAAGTTTTTCATTTAGTTTACTCTGAATGATTTACAAATAAAAGAGAATAAAGTATGAAAATGTTGTCCATGGAAAGTTTATTGTTTTATGACAAATATATGCTCAATTTGAATCTGAGGCCAGCAACACGTTTTAAAAAAAATGGGACAGGAGCATGTTTACCACTGTGTTGCATCTCCTCTTCTTTTAACAACACTCTGTACATGTTTGGGAACTGAGGAGATCAGTTGCTGAAGTTTTACCTTCTCTGAAAAGACGTTTTCTGGATGGCAGCATATGTTGCTCCAAAACCTGTATATATCGTTCAGCATTAATGGTGCCTTCCCAGATGTGCAAGCTACCCAAGCCATGGGCACTAATGCACCCCCATACCGTCATGGATGCTGGCTTTTCAACTGTCCAGTGGTGACAAGCCTGGTGGCCCCTCTACTCATTAGCCCAGTGGACAAGGCGTCCATGATTTCCAAAAAGAATTTGAAATGTAGATTTTTCAGACCACCGGACAGTTTTCTATGTTCCCTCAACCCATTCTAAACGGCCCAGAGATGTCGGCAGTGTTTCTGGATCACGTTTAGATATGGTTTCTTCTTTGTATGGTAGAGTTTCTTCCTGCATTTCTGGATGCAGTGACAAACTGTGTTAACAGAAAATGGTTTTCGGAAGTGTTCCTGAGTCCATGCAGTGATTTCCGCTATAGAATCATGTCTGTTTTTAATGCAGTGCTGCCTGAGGACCTGAAGATCATGGC